ATACCAACCTCGAAACGGGCTCGCTCGATAAGTTTGATTGTAATTTTATTGATGTGGCTCAGTGGTGGTCTTTTATTGTATTATTTTCGTTTAATGAAAAAATTTTATTTAAAAAAATAGAGAAAACTATTATGTTTTTAGATAAAATTTTGATCATCTATTACTTGCCTTAAAAATTAAAGTCATTAAATTAATAAAACTATAAATTGACCCTTGATTAACAAGCCATTATACATATATAATAATATAATGATAACTTTATTATATACTTTGATAACTTCATTACTACTTAATTTTCAAAAATACTTAATGTGATTATGTTTATCCATCATATATTTTAATTTTTTTTCTTGGTAAAAAAATCAAAATATTTTTTCATTTTTTAAATTTATTTTTTAAAAAAATAGTGATCAAAATATAAAATTAAATATATGATGTGGGGAGATCGTCGTTGGATCGTTGGAAGAAGATGATGCTTGAAGGATTTTCAAGAATAGAGGATATACCAAAGCTCAAAGGCTTAAAGAGGAATTATATTCATCAATTGTGTCCCATTCCTCTTACACATTCCATAAATATAATATTTAAGTAGGACAAACCTAGATAATCCTAGAAAACTTGTAATAAACTAAATAAAATAACATAAGGAACATTTTAAACTAAAATGCTCTGTATCATTCTCCCCTTGCATCAAAATAGCTCGACTCTGTTGAGGTGCCTTAGAGAAGGAGATAGATGTAGAAACATAAGTTACCCTCCTGGATCGAAGATTTTACTTCTTCGATGAATAACCGCAAGCTCGTTCATCAGTCAAATGAGTTTCTTTGGATTATCACAAATTTGCAAACCTCCATCGATACAAATAACAATATATTTGGCCATTGGAATGAATTCTTTACCCCAACTAGAATCGCATAGTAAGCTCTTGATTCCATCCACAAACTTTAGTACCATTTGGGGCGGCTGGTTAATGCTGAACTCACCAATCAAGGCATTCCATGAGAAAAGATTGTTCTTAGTCAATTCATCAAATACCTTACAAATTGATTCTAAGCAACCTTTGGCATTACACCACAGAAGGGAGTTCTCTATGCCATCTGGTGAGAGCATGAATGATAACATCCCCACGCCTGTATTGTTAATTAAAATATTTAAAGGAAGATTTAGAGAATTGAAATCTGCTGCAATTTTGCTCACAGAAGCCATTGAACAAAGGTCTAATTCCAAGGCATCAACTTTAGCAAATGGGATTTCCTTCAGAATCATTTCCTTCACATTGTTATCAACAGAAACATTTCTGATCCCTAGGATGACATGAACACCTCGCAAAGTAAGCTTACAAGCTGTTTCTGTGCCAATACCACTGTGAGCTTGCCAAGTCCGAAGAACAGTTAAATAAAGTAGGAAGATGGGAGAAATCCATCATGTGAAGGCTGGACAATGCGAAAACCAGATCAGATCTAAGTTTTGAAATGTGGCGTGTGACGAGTATGGAATCGATCCCACAGGGAGGTACATCGGTATGTTCGATCTGCAGCTGGAGAGGTTTAACACTATTACGAGGCATCTTGTGGAAGATTCGTTCCTAGGGTGGTTTTGATGGATCTGGAGCCTAGAACAATGGGCAACGTGAGGACGGGACCATGTGGTTTGATCATCCGCCCTGTCATCTTCATATTTAGGCAATTCTGGTGCATGGAAGAGCGGAACGTAGTATTCTGGCAAGGACGTTGGCATCGAAGGATCGGAGTGAAAGGGACATCGAAAACATAGTGGTAGTGGGGATGGATTTGAGATCTTGAACTCCTCCCGATTTCGATCACGTTCCCAATTACGGTCATGATGATTTGAGCTTTTCTCACCAAGGCCCTCCGACACAGTGGAGACATTGGTTTTGATTTCAGAAATATGAGATTCCGCTTGCTTTAAGGCATCATTGTTGAATCCACCGCAGAGGTACTTATCGCCGGTGGCAATGACCAGGGTGAGCTTGCGAACAGGGCATGATTGCTTAGCAAGCTCGGAGAAAGCATTTGTGGGGGAAAATAACGGATATGGATCAGACATTAGTGGAGCGGAATCACAGGAGAAAGCTGAGGCGGGGGAGGATTCGGGCCGTGGCACGCCGTGTGGGAGCCGAGGAGGTCGGGCAAGTGCGGAATTGGTCTTTGAGAGCGCGTGTCAGTAGATGGCTGAAGATAGTTCGATTACCGATGTGCATACTCATTCTTTAGAACGATTGAAATCAGCAAATAAAGCATCAAACCGATCAAGTGATGCTTCACCTTGAGCACCTGAAGGGCTTAGTGGCGTCCGTCACGGTGGACAACCCTTCTTCATTAGCGGCTATCTTCGTAAGGATAGTGGGGCGGCGGATCTCGCCATTGGAGCGAAAGTTGGAGTGGAGGATAGTCGTCTTCTTCGTCGTCGACCGCCCATCTGCTTCGGTGTAGATCATCATCGACCGCCCATCTCGTTTGGCGGCAATCTTCTTCGACCGCCCATCTCTTTCGGTGGCGATCTTCGTTCACCGCCCAATTTATTCGGCATCGATCTTCATCGACCGCCCTTTCTCTTCGGCTTCGATCGTCATCGACAGCCCACTTTATGTAGTTCATTGTTCTTCGAAAGCTCCGGGCTTTGATACAAATTGATGTGGGAAGATCATCGTTGGATCGTTGGAAGAAGATGATGCTTGAAAATTTTCCAATATCAGAGGATAGACCAAAGCTCAAAGGCTTAAAGGGAGAATTCTATTCATCAATTGTGTGTCATTCGTCTTACACATTCTATAAACCTAGAGAATCCTAGAAGATTTTTGAAAACATGTAACAAACTAAATAAAATAAACTAAGGAACATTTTAAGCTAAAATGCTCAGCATCAATATATTCTTCCCACAAGTCGGGATAATCCAAATACAACTTGTCTCTTCCACGAAATTCACAAGATCCTGCGAATTCCCTGTGTTTTCTGAAAATCCGGCAGAGTTCCGGCGTCTTCAGGCGGCAGGAAGAGCTCCGGCGGTGGTCGAGGAGGTGAGGAATCTCCTATTCCCCTTTCTCCCCTTTCTCCTTTTCTTCTTCTCTCTCTTCACTTGAGTCCCTTTGGTGTAGAATAAGAGCTCTATTTATAGTTTTTTTGGAGTGGCATAGCCCGTAAATAGACGTGAGATCAAGGGCAAACAGGGAGTGGTTTGAATGGACGGCCGATATCGAATCCTTTGATCATGCACCGTTCGTTGGACATTTGAAGGCTTTAATGATGTCGGAATTCGATGATCTTGGGCTCGTTGGATTCGTCTCGTCGAGCTGTTCGATTCGAGTATAAGCTCGTCAAAATCAGAGACCGTTTGGTAACTCAAATTGCGGTTTGAATCTTCCAACAACGCTTTGAACCCATGATTCGGACTCATTTGGGCTCGGATTGGATTGATCTTGGTGTCGTTGGGTTCGTATTTCCGAGATGCTCGGTTTGACTGTAATATCGCTGAAATCGGAGTTCATATGCTCCCGGAATTAATTTTTGAAGTTTCCGAATTGATTTTGCCTCGAGATTCGTGCCCAATCAAGATTATTTTGTGATGACGTATCAAGAATAGTTATTCAAATTAAGTTCTTTACATGAGTTTTTAACATATTATTTATTTTTATTAAATAATAGATATGTTAATAAATGTTGCACTATTCAAAAGTCTTACAAAGCTGGTGCAGCTGTAATCACAAGTGGCAGACGTGCAGCGCTTCATAACTAAAAAAATCCTATATAAAATAATCTGTTTCTAGCACGTCATCACCATATTAAAACTAGGGGTGCAACTGAGTTAAGTCGAATCGTCAGACTCAACTCGGTAACGGGCTCGAACTTATTGAGCTCGAGCTCGAACAAACCTCCGCTCGACTCGTCAGCTTGTCGACCAGCTCGCGGAGGTGATCGGGCGGGAAAACGAAACTTCAGCTTGAGCAAGTGGGAGGACGAATCGAAGGTAGGGCGGGAAAATCAAAACGACAGAGTTCACTTGCTCGAAGGCGGATTAACGTTAGTGAGCTAATAATAAAAGATTAACATATAAACTTCATTGCATCACAGAAGAGAAGATTACATATGCGTAAACCAATCCACACAATGCATGATTAACAAACGATCAATGCTTCAGAGATTAAGCGGTTAAAATAAATAAAAGAGGATTAGAAACTGATAACTCATATCATATGTAAACAGAGAACAATATGGATTCTCATTTTACTTATCCCTCATCCAAACACAGCTTGGCTTATTCAAAGACCTAATCCAACTCGATGAAATGACAAATTGAGTGTAATTCAAACAGAAACTACTAAAAGCAAACCACCAATTAACTATTTGAAGCTACATTATAAAATAAGAAAGTATTGGGGAATAACGTCGAACACCTAGAGGACGCCGCGAAGAAGCAGGTTGATACCAAACGATGCGGTGCAAAAGATGAGCCCAAGAAGCGCCAGAAAGTTCAAACCTCTGCCAGAAACGAAACATAAATCATTAGAAAAAGAATGAAAGAATCCAACTTTGATCTGGAGGCCGAAAGAAGACGAGTAAATGAAGGTTGTATGGCAGGGAAAAAGAAATACCCAAACTTGAGCCGATTCTCAGGAACTCCGGAAGCGTAGCCCTTGAAGTATAAGAAACGAGCGACGGTGTAGAAGAGACCGAGCACGGAGGCAACGAGCGAGTGCTGGATCCCGCCGAGCAGGAGCGTCACGAAGAACACCGGCATGTATTCAATCGAGTTCTGGTGTCCTCTCTGCCGATCAGAATCCGAAATCCGCGTCAAATTCGCATCTTTAGAAGACAGGTAAAGAAATAGCCGAGTAGATACGTACCTGTACACAGTTGAAGAGCTTGGCATCCTTGTTCTCGGATTCCAACGCATAGAGCGCAGGGTAAGGCACTTTGTACCTGATTTTGGGGATTTTGTAGATTGAGATTACGAGGAAATTAACAGTAGTAAAAGGAAACGACATTAAAAAATAAATTACTTCTTCCGAGCTTTTCCCACTTGAAAGCCCATCCACAGATTCAGGAAGGCGTAGAGAACGAGCACTAGTACAACGTAGCCATACTCTCTTGGGATCTCCATCGCCACCGCCATGCCTCTCTCTCTCTCTCTCTCTCTCGCTGAGGAAGCTGAGAATGGATACCTAGCTTGTAATAAGACTTGGTTTTCCGCTTATCTTTGCTTCTTTGCACTTTTGCCGTCTTGGTTGTCCATTTATAGGGAAGTGTCAAACTACGAAGATTATATAAATTATAAATGTTTAGCTTTTCCTTTTTTCGGCAGGTTTAAATTTGGCAGATAAGAATTTTTATTTATTTAATTATAGAAATTTTAAAATAATAATGTAATATAAATTTAATTATTAGTCATATATTCCATTAATTTTAAATTAAATTTGAAAATTATATAGTTAATTTTAATTAAATTTGAATAAGATTATTCTATCATAAATTTTAAGTGGAATAAAAATTATATCAGAATTATATATTCTAAAATGAGATATTTTAAACTTTATGATAAATGTTTAAATTTAAAAGATATTTAAATTTTATGTTATGATGTTGCATTTCAATTATACTTAAATTTCTTTTAATTTTGAACATTTTTCATATAATTTTATGTATTTTGTTTATATCAGGATACTCAAATTTATTTATTATTTTAATCCATGATATTTAAATTACATTGGCTCAGGTTGGAAACTTGGTCAAAGAACATTTAAATTTGATTTTAAATATTATGTAATAAATTTGTGGAAATAATATTAAATAATTAATGATATAATTATATATTATAAGCTTATTGTATCATTAAATATGTAATATAATATATATTTAAAAAATTAATTATCTGATATAATACTTAGTATTTTAATTAATATTATATATTTAGTATGGATTTAACATAAATTTATTTTGACTAAAAAAAAGATTTTGTTTTTTAAAGCTTGATTAGACTTTCTCCTTTCCTTGCGATGGAGGCTCGACGATTCTCCAGAAGCTTCTAATCTCATAGTTTCCTTGCCCATCAAGAAGGTGCGGCCATGACCTCATCAGTGACGGGCCTTACTTTGTCTTTTCTGGGCTTTATCCAAGTTGATGACTCCAGCCCATATACAATTTCTTGGGCAAAAATAAGCCAACGCCACAATTTTATTTATTCTAAAAAAATAAAAATATATTTAAATTTATTATATATTTTCACAAACATAATAAGAATTTTAATTAAAAAAGAGTATTAGGGAGTGCATTATAAATTATTTATATATTACGTCTATTTTAAAATAGACAATAACACTTTAAAATCTATCTTAATCATGTATTTAAATTTTTTTCCTCTTTTGATATGATGCAAAAAAATTATTTTATCCCATAATAACATTGGCGTAAATTTTAGATCTTAAAGCATTTTAATATTTGTGCACAAAACATTTTAATATTTTAGTATTTGCGCATAATAATATTGGCGTAAATTTTAGAAGCATTTTAAAATTTTAATATTTGTGCATAAAATTTGATTATTGAACAAAATATGATGCAAACTTTGTTTTCAATAAATTATAATTTAGATTATATATTTCGTTGAGATGAATCTAATAATACAAAGAATGACTAGATTATAGCATGTTTAGAAATTATTAAATAGCCTAAAAAATTTATGCTTTAATAATTGACACAAAGGACTCAAAGATATAGATTAAATAAGGGCAACTTTCTTATTATTTTTTACAGTAAATTTTTAATCATAAAATTTTTTGTATTAAAAAAAATATTTTTATAAACAGTAAAAAAAGCCCCAAATAAATCATAAATCTTAAGATTAATCAATTTTAATATCATTAGTGATCAAGTGTGAGATGCTGGTCAGTGTATTTCATGTTATGTTCTACGTACCTTAGCTTTTGTGTTTATGAACATGAGATGCATAATGGGCCTTTTAAACATAAAGTAAATTAATGGGCTTACGGAAGACCCAACAATATTAACCCTGAATGGCCCAGTAACTTTATGGAATCATAGCCCACCCATCAGTTTTAGAGATGTATCAATGCTTTGTAATTAGTTATATATTGTCAATATATTTTTCGTGAGGATGGATATGAAATAATACTCAGAAGATAAAAAAAAATGACATAAATAAAAAAAAAATTATTTTTGATTTTCTCAGTTTCTCCCTCTCCTTTTCTTAAAGATAAAATTGTTTCAAAATAATATATTAATTAAAAAAGGCATAAAATCATTAATAAATGAATTTTTAGGCATGGGATAAATCATAGATAAAGGAGGGCTAAGGGCACAAATGTAATTACATATCCCATGAAACTAATGAATGTTTAGTAAATAAGAAAAATCTTTAATGATATTTAAATCATTGATCTCAATCCTAAAAAATTATTAATTTGAGCCAAAGCTTTTGGTGTAATCTTCTCTCTTAATCTGCTCCTGATAGCAAAAATGAAGACATAAATTGTTTACATCGCCTTGTAGTAAAATGCAACATATTTTCAAATAAACTAATTTATGCACTGTAATTACAATTATTATTATTATTTTAGAGAAACTGAATGCTTTTTAAGTTCATTAATCATAATATATATGATTAATTTTTAGATATGATTAGAGAAACTCAAGCACAGCGGGCGTGCTGTGCTTGAGTTGGGTTGGTGTTGATACCGGCTTGCTGTTGAGCATGCCAGCCCGTTGAAGAATTGTTTCGACATACTGGGCTTGGTGGAGATGAAGGCCTGTCTCGATCCGATCAGCAGAGATGCCCAGAAATTGCATTAGACTGCAAAGATTGCGCATATGGAAACAGTTTGTGGAGAGCGTGAAGCAGCATGTCAATGGATTCCTAGTTATTGTCTGTCGGAATAATGTCATCTACATAGACTAAAAAATATATATTATGACCGTTTTTGCAATAAATCAGGAGTGAGGGATTCGAATTACTAGTGGTGAAGCCCTGTTCGTGTAAAAAACCTATGAGATTTCAAACCACTGTCGGGGAGCCTGTTTGAGTCCGTAGAGTGCCTTATTGAGTTTGCATATGTGGTTGGGATAGTTCGTATCTGAGTAACTGGGAGGTTGCTTCATGTAAACAATGTCATTAAGCTTGTCATGTAAAAAAGCATTCGAAACATCTAATTGGCAAATATTCCAATTTTGATTGAGTGCAAGAAGTAAAAGAACACGTAGAGTTGAAATTTTTGCTACAGGGCTAAACATTTCAGTGTAATTGAGGCAGAACTCTTGATTATATCCTAATGCTACAAGACGTGCTTTGTCCGGCAATGGTCCCATTGGAGTTATATTTGGTGCGGTATGTCCACTTGCAGCCAAGTGGTTTTGAAGACGAGGATTGTTGCAACCCATGACCCCGAGTTTGAGATTTTGATGATGCCAAATAATGAGTGCTTTGGAACAATTTTTCATTGAATACTATTTTATTTGCTATTGTCCTTGAGTACTAACATTTTAGGAAGATCACAAGTGACTCAGGACGAAAGGAAGACTCAAGAAAGGGTAGATTAGGAGTATGAGTCAAACATTGTATTTTTCTATTTATTTTATTTTATTTTATTGAGTCTGGCCACAAAATGCATAAGAGTAAGAGCAACCATGCACACACACAGGGGGAGAGTTGTTTTTTAACTGCAAAATGTAATAAAAATTCTTCTCTGGAGATCGTACTGTACGATGTTAATTCGTACCGTACGATCCAAGCTATGTGGAAGATTTTGTGAATAGATCGTACTGTACGAAAAACTTCGTACTGTACGATATGTTCAGATCCAAAACTCTAGCCGTAGTTTAGTTTAAGTAAGTGATTTTGCGCCGTTCGTACTGTACGAACATGTTCGTACGGTACGATCTATTTTAAATACTTACTTAAATTAACCTGTGATTAGTGCATGTAATCCAGGCCTAATTAAATTTTAAACATCGTACGGTACGAACTGGATCGTACCATACGATGAACAGAGACGAAGTATGATCGTCCCGGATATCGTCCTGGACGATCTCTTTGTTTTTGTCACATCGTACTGTACGATAGTAATCGTACCATACGATGAACAGAGACGACATCTGATCGTCCAGACCATCGTCCTGTACGAATAGTATTTTGTTGGATCGTACCGTACGATATTATATCGTACAGTACGAATTGTTTTTGAACTGTTCGTACATCTTCGTACCAGGACGACATCTATTTATGAAGATCGTACTATACGATGTATAATCGTACTGTACGAACAGTAACGGCTACTTTTGAAATCAGAGGTTTTTGGAGCCCGTTTTAGATGTCAATCAAGTCTTTTTTTCAGTAAGAATCACAGAGGAGGTGAACGTGGTTAGAGAGGGATTCCAAGGGAGAGAGCTCTAGAGAAATTCTTGAGGGTTGAGAGAGGAAGGAGGAGGTGAGCGTTGTGAGGGAGAAGAGGTGTGAGGGAGATCACACGGTTGCTCCAAGCTTGCTGCATCTTGCTCCTCCTGTGGCCCTAGAAGGATTTGAGGGAGGATCTCTAAGGAAAAGGCTCGTCTACATCCGTTACCTCGAGGTTCTCTGCCTTCTCCAGGAGGGAGAAAAACGAGAAGGTTCTCTACCGTCGCCAGGAGGGCGAAAACAGAGTTTGGCACTCCGCCACGCCGGGTTGGTGAAAGGGAGGTTTGTAAAGGCTTCTCCGCCTTGCCGAGGGGGGCAAAAGGAGAACTATTTTGATAGTGAAAATTCCGGAGTGGAGGACTCCGGGGAGTGGATGTAGGTCATATTTTGACCGAACCACTATAAAATTCTTGGTGTGTTTTTTCCCTCTTGGCGCATCTAGTAATTTCAATTGGTATCAGAGCAATTTCAATTGGTATCAGAGCAATTTCAAGGATGAGGGGACGAGCTCCCAAGTGCCCTGAGATTGTAAGGCTTGAAATTCTTGAGACATTATCGTTCTCCAATGTTCAAATTTGGATGTCTGTGCATAAGTGGTAGGATCAGGTGTTCGAGTTTGGTGTGTGAGGTCGAAGATTTGTTTAGGCTTTAAATTTCCTGTTCTAAGTCTGGTCACCATGTGATGTTGAGGTTGTGTGTGTGGATTAGTAGCTGTGACCAAGGGAGTTTGAGGGAGTTTTGTGGAACTGGTTGAAGCCGGAGCTGATGGAGTTTTTGAGACATGCAGATTTTTGGGTTGCTGAATGCTGTGTGGATGTGGGGAAGTAGAGTTAGTGGATGTGGGAACAAGAAGTAAGGGAGGTAGGTGCTGTGAGAATTCCTGTGTGTTATATGTAGAGGAAGTGCCTGGAGACTGTGCATAGGAAAGATACGCTCGTTGAACACGACATGGCGAGACTTGTATATCCGATTCGTAGAGAAATCGAGGCAGCAGTATCCTTTTTGTTCTTGAGCGTAGCCGATAAAGACACAAGGGCTGGATAATGGTGATAATTAAGATTGAGAGTATGGTTTGAGCCATGGGTAACACAGACACCCAAATATGCGAAGATGAGTATAAGTTGGCTGTTTGTTATAGAGATAGTTGTAAGGTGTGCTATTGCTTAGTGTGGCAGTGAGAAGACGATTGATTAAGTAAATGACAATATTAAGTGTTTTAACCCATAGTGAATACGGAGCACGTGAATGAAAGAGAAGGCTTCGAACTGTTTCAAGAATGTGTCTATTTTTTCCGTTTAGCGACTTCATTTTGAGTAGGTGTGTAAGGACAGGTATATTGGTGGCAAATTCCCTAGTGAATGCAATAAGATTTAAACGTATTATTGAGGTATTGGCCTCCACCATCAGTCCTAATTGTGCGAATGTTGAGATGAAATTGGCAGTTGATAAACTTGTGAAAATTAATAAAGGATTTTGTTACATCAGATTTTTGAATTAACGGATAAAACCAGCTGTATTTAGTAAAATTGTCGATAAAAGTCACAAAGTAACGATATCCTTGCATAGATGTGTGCGGGGAAGGACCCCATACATCAGAATGTACAAGTTCGAACGGTGTAGAGTCAGTAGAAGTAGATGGTAGGAAAGAAAGACGTTTGCTCTTGGCAACTTTGCATGTATTATAAAAATTATGTAAAGAATCCCCACATATGCTGGAGTGAGATCGAGCTAAACCGTGAACGGTGGAGAAGGCGGGGTGGCCAAGGCGATGGTGCCATAGATTTGGGATGGCTTGAACCGAGAGAAGTGCAAGCTTAGAAGTCAATGTTGTGTGAGGAATGCTGTAGAGGCCATTATGGCATGGGCCTTGAAGAAAAAGGCGATTCGTCGTCAAATCCTTTATTTGGTAATCGTAAGGAGAAAAAGAAATAACACAGTTATTGTCAAGAGCTAATTTGTGAACCAAAATTAAATTGAATGCAAGATTTGGTACATGGTGAAGCTTGTGAAGATAGAGTGTACCTAATGGAGTAGGAAGTATGCCACTACATGTATTTTGTATGGGGAGCTGTCACCCATTACCAAGAATGACTTGTGAGGAGCTTGTGTATGGTTCAGAGTTGTTGAGTTGAGTTGCGTCAATTGTGAGGTGAACTGAGGCGCCGCTATCCAGAAACCATTCGTTCTAGCGTGGAGTCTCCGATGGACTGAAAAGGGCTGGCGTTTGTGTGGCTCCGGTATATGCTGGATCTATGTGATAACAGCAGAGAATGGTCGAGTGACCATGTTTGTTGCATATTTGATAGGTGACATTGCGGTTTGTTGATCTGTCTTTGTGATCGGATTGCTGCTATGGTCGTCGGCCGCTATTAGTGTAGAACCGGCCTCGTCCTGTTTCTCGTGAGGTTGTGAGAGCTAGAGTGTTATCTGTTAGGCTTAAAGAATGAAGATCTTTGGTAGCATCCTGTAAAATGTTTTGCTCTTCGCTACCGAGAAGGCTGTAGAATTCTTCAAGATTTAATGGCTGAAGATTTCTACAAATGGCAATCTTGAATGATTGGTAGGAAGAGGGAAGTCCGTTCAGCGTATAAAGTATAACATCTTCGGAGTCGATCGTGCTACCAGCTATCGTGATAGCGTCAACTTTTGCTTTAACATTAAGAAGATATTGAGACATGAGTTTGTCACCTTTGGACAGGTGATGAAGCTCGTTTTTTAACTGGATAATATGTGAGCGGGTGGTAGATTGAAGACGGTGGGTTAGTGTCGTCCAGATTTCGTGGCAGTAAGATGCAGATAGGACATATGTGAGTATGGACGGAGTAATGGTTGAGAAAAGTGTAGCAGAGAGGTGTTGATCTATTAAGGTCCAGGATTCTTGCAGTGAAGAGGCGGTTGTGCCATATGAAATGGAAGATTTCGGTGGACAGGGTGTTGAACCATCAAGAAAACTTTTGAAGCTATTTGCATTGAAGATTTTCTCAAATTGAGACCGCCAGATTGGGTAGTTATCTGAGGTAAGGAGAGTTGGGACAAGGTTTCTTGATATTGCTTATAAGGAATTTGAGTTGAGGTGGTATAATGGGGGTGAGATATTGTGGGTTGAATTCTGTGGTGGGTTGAGAGGTTGCAGAGCCTTCCATTGATGAGGAGGAAAGAACTAAGAGAACTCGAAGAGCAGAGGGAGGGAGCAGTGGTAGACCGCCGGAGGAAGAAGGCCAGGAGAGACAAGAAAAAAAAATTAAGATTTCTTACCTTTGCTCTGATACCATGATAAACTGCATAGGCTGTAAGGCTTGCAGGGGAAGAGCCGCAGAGCAAGAACAAGAATGAAATTATTTTATTGAAACTTAATGAATAAAAGAGATGTACAATCTTTGTATTTATAGACAAAGCCATGGGTTCATATTAGCTTTAGCCTTTACAAGTGGCAAGAAATATACTTTCTTGTTTGTGCTTTAAAAAACTCAATATTTAAATCCAAAACCTCTTAATTAATAAGAAAATTTTTCAACCAACATATCAAAAGGAGCTGCCTATTACAATCCTTGCTACATATACTGAACACTTCATATAAAAGTTTCGACAGAATCCCCAAATCAAAATAAACAAAAACAATGCTAGCTCCAAACCAGTACATTAACTTCATCTGTTACTACTCATAAAGTCTTTGACATCTGAAATTAGCTCAGTAGTCCTGACCTCAGACAAGCTATAATTTTGCAGAACCTGAAAAGCATGGCCAACACCTCCATACATCTGAAGCTCCACTCTCTTCCCGGCCCTGCTCAAAGCCCTGCAAAACTCCAAGTTCCGGTCCCTGAGTATATCCATCTCCGCCACGCAGAGGAGCACTGGTGGCATCTTCCGATTCTCCATCTTCTTCAACCCCTCATCACAGATCGGATTACACCATATGCTATCGCGGTTGGTTCCGGCCGGCAGGGAAAGCCTCCAGTAGCAATCAGCCGCCGCAAGGGTCAGCGCAGACTTCGCCGACTGCGCCAAATTCCGCTCCGAGGAAGTTCGCGCCTCTCCGCTGAAGAATGGCTGAATCAGAATCAGCCCGCGCACGCGCGCTGGTGGATTTATGTTGGGTGCGGTGGCGCTGTAGGCTATGGCGGCCCCCGCGCTATCCCCTGCAAAGACAGAGAACGGATGAATATAAGGAGCTGTTTGGCTGCAAGTAGAATTTAACACAATGATAGGTGTTGAATCAGATTCTGTTTTTTGATTGGCTTTGTTAAGTGATGACTATCCCCTCATAATTTTGAGAGATTATTACGTGCAGAGACTAGGAGAGATTATTAGGTGCGGAGTGCGGACGGAAAGAACCGTCCGCACAAGTATTGGGTACCTATTGGTATCCTTAATCGGTACCGCTAGGTACCCAGTACTTGTGCAGACGGTACACACTCTGCACCTAATAATTTTTCAGAGACTAGACACAAAGATGAACAATAAAAATTACAGTTTGCTGCGCTTTTACTGTTTATAGAGACAAATCGGACGGTTCTATGTGTCCGGTCTCCGCATGTAATAATTCAATCGTAATTATTTTTAACTGTTGGTTGGGAGCTTCTACTAATGAAGAGATTTTGGGTTAAGCCTTACTTTTTTTTGGCCTAAATATTATGTAATTATGTGAAGTGTGTATGAATTTGTCTTTATTGATCTAAATATTAAAAAAATAAGGTGGTTATCGCCAACAAGTATGAAATTAAGTTTTTTTTGGACATATTGGCCAATGAAGGAAAACTTACACTGTCACGCAACATATATATAAGTTTCGAATCTAAGACCTTTTGGTTGATAGCTAATACTTCTTATGAATTAATACGCATCAAAGAAACTTGGTTATCTGAACTTAGTTTGAAAGCTGATTTTCTTTTGTGGAATCAACTGGTTTATTATCAACATATACAAAATATAATATTAATACAATCAAAGCTAATTAATTAATTTCATAAAATATTTTATTCGGTGGGTCCCAAACTTAATCAAAATTTTCAGTCATTTGAATTTTTTTTTAATATGAAAGTGAGGGGAAAAATTGGATCAGAAGATGCCCGTTGATTTATAAATTTATTTTCTCTGAATGAATTATAAATTTATTAATTTATTTTAAAATTGCTCTAATAAAAATGTTATTTATTATTTAAATTTATCCTGATAAAAACTAAATTAAAAATATCGGGAGCCAAATTTATCCTCATTTAGATTTATTTGGCGTGATTTTTTACATAGATTTACAAAAATTTTAAATTCAAAATTTATGTTTTTAATAACTTTAGATTATTAATTTCCCCCAAAATGTAATTTTAGAGTTTTTATCCATTTAAAAAGGATATTAAAATTGAATATATATTTTTTGTCTAATAATACCATATATTTTTTTGGCTATAAAATGGGAATCAAAATATTTCCTCCGGTAAATACATAATTCACAACAGCAAGGTTCTGGGCAGCGTACCTGCCACAAACACCCTCCCAAAATCGCATCTAGCCCGCCATCCCCACCCGCCCGGATCCGCCCCGGCCCGGCCCGCCTGCTGCCGGAGCCAAGCAAGCGCAGCGACACCATCCTCATATGCAGCGGGGAGGCGGTGCTCAGGGGCAAGGCGGTAGCTAGCGGACACAACGACGCAAGCGGCAGTGCCGGCAAGCCGGGAGAGGAAGTTGTGGTAGCATCGCCAGGCCGGGGAGCCGACGCAGAAACCGCCGCCGTGGAAATAAAGGAGCACGGGGAGCGGATGCCGACCCGGGTATCGAGGCACGTAGATCCTCGCCCATAGCCCGGCGGAGGGATTAATGGTCACATCGCCAGAGACCACACCGGGCTCCGGAGAGTAAGTAGATGGGACTTCCGGCATAGCGGGGAGGCGCACCACGTGGCCGTTTCTGTGGAGTTTGATGAGTCCGGGGATCTCTTCGATGACTGCGGCGGAGGAGTGGTCGGGCGGGGTTGGGATGACGGCGAGTAGTGTGGAGCTGCCGAGGAGAAGAGAGCCTGTTTTCGGTCTCCTCATATTGCGAGAATTGTGAAAATGTTGGGCTATTTGGATCTTAATTAAGGGTTGGGCGTTTTATAGTTGTAGCGAGACTGAGTAGATAAGGGTGTAAATGAGTCGAGGAGAGTTAAGTATTAGTCCATTTTAAAATTTATAGATTTGAGCTCGGCTTAATTGCTCGAGCTCATTTAAAAATATTGAGCTTGAGTCAATTGTTGAGATCATTTTCATCTATTCTTGAGTTAGAGGTGGAAGCAGGAAGAGCTCAAATAATATTATCATATATAAAAATAATAAACATTTTAACATATTTTGAAAATGATTTGTTTTTGAAAAATAAACATTTTAACTATTTTGCTCACCTTTAAAAAATACCATTGTCTAAAGTTAAATATATATATATATATATTTATGTATCCACTACAGGAAAAACGTCATTTTCGCCGGAAAATTGGACAAAATCCGTCGGAAATTAGCATTTCCGGCGGATTTCCGGCAGAAATATTTGCGCCGGTTTGACGCGCGTCGTAAAAGGCCTTCCGGCGAAAAAATAATACGCCGAAAACATTTCCGGCACATCTCCGACGGATTTTCCGCTGGAAAAATATTGACGGCGGATTTATTTTCCGTCGGAAAGTAAATAAAATTTAGGGTTTAAAAAAATATTCAAAGCCAACCCCCATCCGCTTGCCAACCCCCGTCCGCTACACCCAATTCTGCCCTCTTAGCATCCGCGCAGTGAGCCCGCCGGCGCTGAATGACTTCGGCGGGGTTCGAGCCGCGCCCCCTTCGCGCGCCTAGCATCCGCACCATCTGCCATCTATCCCAGAAAACAAAATCAATTAAAACTTAGACTTTATTTTATTTAGCCTATAACTGATAAAGTATTTTTTTTTATTAGTTAAAACTTAGACTTTAGTAAATTTAATTTAACAAAATATGTTTAATTTAATTAGTTAGTTAATCTTTATTTAAATTAAAAAAATTAATTTTACAATGAATTAAAAAATTAGTTAATTTAATTTAATAATAAATTATTAAATTATTTAACTTAATTTAACAAAATAAAGAATTACAAAAATTTATTTTAATTTAAGTTTTAATTTAAATCATTTA